ATGTGCAGCACACACACACAGATAATTGAAAATGGGTTACTCTCAGACCCTTGGTGCATACAGATAACACTAACAGTAGAACATAAATACAGATAGATACAGATTAAATATAAAAATACAACTATACAAATATACAAGTAAGGTAAAATGTAAAAAAGGTAAAAAAATATATATAAAGCAGCACAAGGCACATGGCAGATAGAGTGCAAACCAGTGAAGTAAACAACAGTGCAGATATAATGATTTGTAGTGCAAAAGAGCTTATTCAGACTGATTAAAGTGCCAGTGTGTGTGTGTATTTGGGAGGGGGGAGTGGGAGAGTCCGTCAGAGGGTCAGAGTTCAGTGGTGCGTGGGGCAAAAGAGGGGAGGGGGGGCAAGGTCGGGAGGGAGTTCAGCTTAATTATAAATGTAATTACAGAAATTAATTACAGATGTAATAACATGCAGGTATTTTTAAAATATAAGTACAATGTAAAAACACATATCTACACAATAAGTGCATTGTACCAAATTATTAATTTAAATGTAAGTACATAGTAGTTAAGGCCACTTAATATAAAGTGGGTCAACATTGTTTAACACATTTAAGTTTATTCACAAAGTTCAGAGGATGTCGTTTGCACTGATATTGAGCAAAACTTTGTTCTGCTTTTTAGTAAACAAGTGAGAATGAGGGTATGTCTACTACAGGGGTCTCGAGCTCTAACCCTAATCAAACACACCTGAGCATGGTCTTCAGGATCGTTAGACAATCACAGGTAGCTGAGTTTGATCAGGGTTGGAGCTCAACTCTGCAGCACATTGGCCCTCAAGGACAAGATTTGAGGAAGCCTGCTCTACATATTAGTCACAGATCTCACAAATTCAGACATTATTCTACATAAACTGACAGCTGTGACGTCGATGTAGCTGCACATTTCTCATTCATGTGACTTGAATAGTCCAACAGAACAGTTTGAATGGAATCTTTTTTTTTATGTAGATGTTTTATAACAAAAATGACTGCTCCTCTGCTGCGGCAATGAAGCAGCAAGTAGCCCTTCGGCACCCTTAATCTAACGGCCATCTGAATTATGCAGAACGACATTTTTAATTCATCTATTTGAAAAATGTGCCATTACTGTAAAATAATGACGGGCAAATCAGTTCTCAGAGATTCCCTATAGAACAAATAGTTATAGAAAGGGTTAAAAAATATATATTCACAGATGACTGCTATTCTAATAGTGTTACACTATTTGTTAATAGTTTATATTCTAATAGTGTTACACTATTTGTTAATAGTTTATCACATACCAACACAAAGTAGATCATGGCAAGCAATCAGAAAGCGAAGCAGTTTTTTCCTTTCACTTAGCATTTACAAATATGTATTACTATATAGATATATATTTTTAAAAAGTATCTAAAACATCACAATGGTCATTACTCTCGTCCTCAAAGACAGAGTTACAGTTTTACCAAATTGTGAACATTATTTTTATGATTGGCTGAGCTGCGTTTCAAATCAAGATACTTGTTTATAGAACCGTCGTATGAAAGCATAAATATCACTCCCAATAGTGCCCCTGCTATGAACACCAGTGTGATTGTATTTACCTGCACACTCATGCTGCATATAGATCACGTCGCTTTGATATGAAAATATAGAGATTTAGAGACAAACACAGGCAAAACTGGCAAGGGTTTCCTATTCATCTTCAACCCCAGGACGAGTTGAGCAAACCTCATCTAATACTCAAACTCTCCCATGAAGACATCTCGTCTTCACAGCCCTGCTCATCTACAAGCTCTCAATAATAAAGACACATGATGTGAGCATACAAAGGTACTTTATTTGGGTGAATGTACAGTTGCAGCACACGCTGTTTAGCGGTAACGGTGCAGCTGCAGGGTGTTGCGTCTCTTCCAGGCCGCGTGCCGAGAGCCGCCGATGGTGAGGTGGAACTTGTGGCCCTTGCCCAAACCACGGCTCTTCTTGCCTGCTGACGTGAGCCCGCGCATTTCCCTGTGCTTGTGCACAGCCTTGGTGATCCACTGCGTGTCGGGGTTGCGTCTGACGGCTTTGTGGAAGGTGTCGATGAGGATCACTTCGAAGAACTTGTATGTGGAGTCTTCCCCCACCCAGTAAGAGCTGAGCACCCGCAGACCTCCACAGTGACGGCCCGCACGCTCCTGAAAACACACGAGCAGCAGAGACGTCAGAGAAGAAGCGCATGACCCTCAACGGACAGAACAAGATTCAGAACACAAAGCCTGAATAAATGCATGCATCACTGGTTCCATTTATGAACATGCATGAGACCATTCATTAGGTGCAGGTGAGAAACTTCACCTAAAGTTGTGTAAACTGAAGCCATAACTAATGGTCAAAATACAATACAAGTTCACATAATAATGCAAGACTAATGGTGACATCTGAATACAGCGAAACAGAGCTGTGTATTGAGAAGAGGGTTGCAAAAATGTGGAAAGTTTCCAGTAAATTTCGGAAACATTCCAGGATTTTTTGGAATATTCCAGGGATTTTTGGGAAGTTTCTTGGGAAGAGTTTTCCCAGGCAATCCAGTTCCAGAGGCAAATGTATATATAATCGTTTTTTTGCCAGGAAAGATAAACATTACCCATGATTATGCAAAGAAATCTCCACCAATCAGAAAAAAAGCAGTGAGCAAAATGAGCCAAAAGAACTTTGTGATTTACATGGATATCAATACGGTACGATACTTGCAAAAAAGCATCCTATCTTACAACATCTTTAAATCAATTTGAAATAAATAGCTTTTAATGCCATGCTTCATGGGATTGTAGTTTTTTTTTTTCCTTTAAAGTGTTAAGTCTCGTAACTTTGTCTTTTTGTCAGATTTTTAAATACTTTTCCGCTTCAAATCAAGTTTGTAATGCAACCTTGTAGCTGGTTGGTTTGATTCTCTTTAGTGAAGACTTTTTTCCAATACCTATAACAAAAACAAGTGGGAAAAATACTTCTGGAAGCAAAGCTGCTGAAAAAGTGAATGTGCATTGCTGCACTATGACAGGACAGAGGGTGTTTGTTCAGACAGAGTTGTTGCTCGACTCTAAAGTACCTGTACTCGGACACTAATATGACGCAGTAATCCTGTCTCAATGGACAAATACATTTCAATCGATTGAGGCCTTTTAAACAGATTAGGTGCTTATTCACTAAAATCAGTTCCAGTGTAGATGCGTCCATTATTGACATGGATTACAGGTCACAAAATCCATAATTATGTCAAAATAACCATAAATCCCTGAACACCCTTTCGGATAAACGTGTGCATATGCTTTTTAAAAGGGCCCACATACATTTAAAACCTGAGAGCGGAGTATGCATAGCATTGTCCATCACTTTCACTGAACGAAGTCGCAAGATGTCAGTGCGTCTAACAGCAGATCGCCTCTCAGGCTGCTCACATACCTCGGCTACGGACTGCAGGCTGCGTGCAAACTTGATCTGGTTGATGCCGTGGTGCACGGGTTTGCCGTAGGTGGCACCTTTAGGCACGGGGCGCTTGCGGCCTCCACGGCGCACACGTATGCGGTAGATGACGTAGCCTGTTTGGACGAAAGCACAGAGCTAAGACGCACAGTCTCAAGACAACAGAGACAATCTTCAATTGAGTATCAGCGAAACGTGACGCTTCACTCATTTGGATCAAAAACACTGCTCAGCCAGTAAAGCACCAGACACTCACCCTGCTTGGCCTTGTATCCCAGCCGGCGGGCTTTATCGGGTCTGGTGGGCCTCGGGGCCCGGTGAAGGCCCGACAGCTGACGGTACTGCCAGCACCGCACGCGCAGCAGAAACCTCATCACATCCGACTGCTTCTTCCTCCAGAGCTCCTGCATGTACTTGTACGCTCCCATGGTGCCTCACCTGCAGCACCAAAAGTCAGGTTAACGACCACGCCGGGAAAACACTGCAATACGAGTCATATGCGTTTTGATAGTTGGCATGATGCAGCCTCTAAAACTGTTATAAAACGGAGAGTTCCGGTGCTTGATTCTGATTGGCTGAGCCGTGTTCAAAGCTGTTGTAAATTACACTACAAACATACACCTGTTTACTTCTGTGTGTTGCTCGGCAACCACTTTGTTGGAACCACAACTTTTTCTGAGGAGCTACATTGTTTGGTGGAAGAATACGGTTTTTATTAATATCATTACACTTTATTTGCTCCGTTTTATTCTGTGAAACCTTACTACGTATATGGAATAACCATTTTATTTATAACAGCTAAGGGGCGTTCACGTCGTGCCTAAAACCCCCTTCAGCTGTTATAAATTCACTGTAAACCACGGCTTCACGGGGATTATTGCGTTAATAAACTGCATTTTACTCACTGCTTTATGACCATACTTCAGTCTTAATTGAGACTACATAGAACTTTTACATTTTTAATACTACAAATTACTATTTTTTTTTTTTAAAGGCGGCAAAAAAATTAAGAAACACTTTATGCACTTCATCGTAAACGGCCAGAAACATTTTAACTCAAATCTTGATGTCTGAAGAGCTTTTATCAACCATAAACCAGCAAGTGTGTATGAATTAATGTTATCATGAGTAAGAGCTATCTGATATCTCAGTCAACAGATACAAAACAGCTGCTTCAGGGGGGATTATATAATAATAATAATAATAATAATGCAGTGTAATATCTGCCCAACATGGCAACTGCAGTCACAACACCTGCACTCTTCAGCCACGGGCAGTGATTTAAATAACCTTTATAAATATAACTCCTGAAAATGACATTTGACAATGTAACGTTTAACTCAGTTTTAACAGAAACGGAAGAAACCGTGCATGACGCCAGCGACCCTCGTCTCCACAAACCGCTTGAAAACCAGCGCGCCACATCATTATGGCGGGAAATGAGCGTCAGAGCGTAAGCCTCAGATATTCCGCACACAACACACGAACTGTGTGACTCGGATGATATTAAACGCATTCAGATTTTTGATGGATTCTACATTCAGAAAAATGAGAGTCTCGCTTACTTGATGGCGTACTAACCGGAAAGAGAGAGAAAAGTTACCCATAATGCTTTATGAGGCCGTTCCATCGTGTTTCCGGCTCCGTTGTTAAAGATTTCTGGGAAATGTAGTCATAGCTAGGAATTTGATTTTAACTGAAAGCGTCAAATGTATTTAACCAACTATCTACCCAGCGTTGCAACATGTTTCTGAAATTTCAGACTAAATAGTATGATTTCACTTTTCTCTTATAAACAAGTGTTCAGGAAAAGAAGAAGCAGCGAGGAATCGTCTCCCGGAAGTGACATTAGCTCAAGCACACACTAAAGTCTCATATTGATGATCATCTGATTTATCATTGATCAGATGTTTATTGTTTATCGTCTGTCAGTCCGCGAGGTGAGTTAGTATTTCTCAGTGTGCCTGTGACTGTGATGAATGAATGCATGCTAATATATTCTCTTAACAAACAGCAAACTGAGCTTTACGTGCAGATTATTTCAGCTATATATTCAGATATTTAATGTCATTTTAAACACTTGTAATTGTTATGCACACAGTGGGGTCCAGAATGTCTGGCGCCACAATGAAAATCTGGGATGTGTCTTTTTTATTAATTAAATCGCAAATAAAGAAGCGCTCGCATTGCGAAAGTCGGTTGCGTTACTTGTGATGTGAAATCTTTTGCAAATCTTTTTTTTCTTTCACTGAAAATCAAAATGCGCTTTCTGGAGAGCATGTGCGTCAGGTTTTGCCAATTCATATAATATAAATATAGTATATATTAAACATGATATTACGTCAAGGTTTCCCAAGCTGGGGTTTGTGAAGGGACTTGCAGGGGGTTAATGAAAAGCTAATAATGAATTAAATCATAAAAATGTTAAATTAAAAATTAAAATCTATCAAAAAAAAAAAAAAAACTTACTGAGACAATGAAATATTTTGTTTGTCATGTGACCATTAACCAGCCAGAGACCCTTGAACATGCAGATGTGTTACTTGTTTATTAAAATATTTATTTTAAAATCTCAGGTGTACTTCAAGTAAATATATTAGGTGAAAGATGACAACAAAAAGTTTGTGAATCTGTGCATTTTAATGTGTTTGAAAGACAAAAGCCTTCCAAAGACGTAAGTAACACACGCTTAAATAACCTACAGAGTGATAATTCAAATAAAAATGAATGTGTTGAAATGTCGAGAAAACACTTGTTAAAACTGAAATGATTTCTGTAAATCCAGTGCTCAAATGCTGTGGCCTCTGGTTTCTGTGTAACCTGAGCAGTGACTGATCTCTGTGTGGATGTCCACAAAACTGGAAGACTTCTGAATCTATATATATTTTACAAAGGAACATTCAAAAGATGAAAAAGAGGAATTAGGGAGAATCAATAAATTATGAATAATATGTGTGAATAATATGCAATCAATAAAAAAGTAACTGTAGTCTGATTACAAGTATTTTAACATGTAGTTTACTCTGATTACAAGTACTTTATTTTTGGAATCTGATTACATGTAATCAGTTACTGCCCAGCTCGGCATGTTTGTTACACGACTGCTCTTCTGCTTGGTTCTGGCCGCTGTGCTGTGCTGTGATGTGTTGTGTGTTTGTTCCAGCAGTGATTATGGGGAAGGGGTGTAAGGTGGTGGTTTGTGGGATGGCGTCTGTGGGGAAAACAGCCATCCTGGAGCAGTTACTGTACGCCTCTCACACTGTAGGTATGTGTGAGGATCAGTCCTTATATGGAAATATGAAATATGATTTAAAATAACACTTTTCTATTTGAATATACCTTAAAATGTCATTTATTTCTGTGATGCGCAGCTGAATTTTCAGCATCATTACTCCAGTCTTCAGTGTCACATGATCTTCAGAAATTATTCTAATATTCTGATTTATTATCAATGTTGGAAACAGTTGTGCTGCTTAATATTCTTTTGGAGCCTGTGATAGTTTTTCAGGATTCTTTGATGAATAAAACGTCGAAAAGAACAGCATTTATTTAAAATAGAAATATTATGTAACAATATACGCTGTCATTTGAAAGTTTGGGGTCAGTAATTTTATTCTTTCTTTTTTTGAAAGAAATGTATACTTTTATTCAGCAAGGATGCATGTGTTAAATTGAAAAAGAGGTAGTAAAGACTTATATTGATAGAAAAGATTTCTATTTTTGAATAAATGCTGTTCTTTTTAACTTTATATTCATCAAAGAATCCTGAAAAATATCAAATATTAAGCAGCACATCAGTTTCCAGCACTGATAATAAATCAGCGTCATATAATGATTTCTGAAGATCATGCGACACTGAAGACTGGAGTAATGATGCTGAAAATGCAGCTTTAACTTCACAGCAATAAATTATATTTTAAAGTATATTAAAATAGAAAACCATTATATTAAATTGTAATAATATTTCACAACATTGCTGTTTTATCTGTATTTTTGATCAAATAAATGCAGCCTTCATGAGCAGAAGAGACTTCTTTAAAACACATTAAAAATCGTACCGATCCCTAACTTTTCAATGGCAGTGTATATATATATATATATATATATATATATATATTACTTTTCACACTTGCATAACTAACACTCTAGCAATAAGAAATGCATTACTTTTAAAGACATCATAATAAGAGTTAGTGGTGAATTAGATATGTAAAAATCAGCATGAGTTCTTACTAACTTATAGACCGACTGAATCAAGCTCACTGAGCATTATAGATAGACTCATAATAAAATACAAAAAGGCCAAAATAGAATAGAAATGCTGTGGAGTATTCTAACAATTACACTGCATTTAGCTCAATTATACTATACTTCACTTCTGAAAGACTGTGGCTTTATTTGCTGCTCTTTACTCTTAATGCTGCGTTCTCGCGCTCCCATTTCTTTGTTGTAATTATTGCATTATTCATCATTAGATGTTATTAAATATTGAGATGCATGCATTAATTATAGGCTCTTACAATATTTCTATGTTTGTAGGCACATAATCAATCTAACATTTTGATCAAATATTACAAACATTACAATTGGTACTACATTTGTAGTATATTGAATATTCGTTTGGTTATTTGTTAAAAATAAATGATTGTTTGTCAGTTAATAGACTGCATAAATGCATATGAATGCATTGTATGCCTTTTCAACACGTGCATTGGAGAGTTATACGTCCAGAATGTATGGGTCATGCATTTGTTACTCAGACAGTCACATAATGAATGCTCAGTCATGATGAAGAACGTCTGTCCCGTGTCAGGTGCAGAAACGAGCGACACTCAGGAGGACATATACGTGGCGTCTGTGGAGACGGACCGCGGCGTGAGGGAGCAGTTACGCCTCTACGACACAAGAGGGCTGCGGGAGGGCCTGGACTTACCCAAACACTTCTTCTCAGTGGCGGACGGCTTCGTGCTGGTCTACAGCGTCGACAGCCTGGAGTCCTTCAGAAGAGTCGAGCTCTTGAAGAAGGAGATAGACAAGTCCAGAGACAAAAAAGAGGCATGAAAGATATATATTTCAGCATCATTTCTCTCCAGTCTTCAGTGTCACAGGATCCTTCAGAAATCACTCTAATATGCTGAATATGTTCTGATTATTATCAATGTCTTATGGTATTTATGTTATAATATATGAAAACAGTTGTGCTGCTTCATATTTATGCAGAAACCATGATATACTGCCATTCGAATGTTTGGTGTGTGTGTGTTTTTAGTAGAAATTAATATTTCTATTCAGCAAATACGCATTAAATTGATCAAAAGTGAGAGTAAAAACATTTATAATGTTACAAAAGATTTCTATTTCGAATAAAAGCTGTTCTTTTGGAACTTTCTATTCGTCAAAGTATCCAGAAAAGAAAAAATTCCACAAAATACTAAGCAGCAAAAATTGTTTTTAATATCGATAATAACTGAGTACCAATAAGCAACAAATCAGCATATTAGAATGATTTCTGAAGGATTGTGATATATATACATATTCCAATTCCAGATTTCATAATATTGCTGTTTTACTGTATTGTTGATCAGCTAAATGCAGCCTTAAGAGACTTCATTAAAAACATTTAAGAATCATAATGTTTCCAAACTTTTGACAAGTACTGTATATAGATAGATAATATGCCATTTTAAAAAATAAAATACATCTGATTTAAAATAAATAGGAGTGGCAAACATTGTCCAATAATGAATTTCTGGTGAAACTGGTGGAGATGTTGTCACGCTGACTCTGTGTGTGTGTGTGTGTGTGTGTGTGTCTGTGTGTGCGTGCGTGTCTGTGTGTGTGTGTGTGTGTGTGTGTGTGTGTCTGTGTTTGTGTGTCTGTCTGTCTGTGTGTGTGTGTGTCTGTAAGTGTGTCTGTCTCTGTGTGTGTGTGTGTGTGTGCGTGTCTCTGTGTGTGCGTGTGTGTGGGTCTGTCTGTAAGTGTGTGGCTGTGTGTGTGTGTCTGTCTGTAAGTGTGTGGCTGTGTGTCTGTGTGTGTGTGCGTGTGTGTGTGTCTCTGTGTGTGTGCAGGTGATGGTGATGGTGCTGGGGAATAAGTGTGACCTGCGCGAGCGGAGGCAGGTGGATCAGGACGCGGCTCAGCAGTGGGCTCGCGGCGAGAAGCTCAAACTCTGGGAGGTGACGGTCACAGACAGAAGCTCTTTGATCGAGCCCTTCACCAGCCTCACCAGCCGCCTCACTCAGCCGCAGAGCAAGTCTGCCTTCCCTCTGCCCGGCCGCAAGAGCAAGGGCACCCCGTCCAGCGACATCTGAGCAGCTCACACTACCACACATCAGCACTCTAGACTTCTCTCTGGTACTGTAGAAGATTAAGGGCTTCTAGTGAAAGAGGTTAGCTAGGACTAGATCTATTTACACTCAGAAATACAAGCACTAATCTTTTTGTAGTTGTTGTATTTGTGTGCACTGATGGAAAATAGCAGAACATATAAATGCAGGGCACTCATAGAGGTACTGCTGCATCACTGGGCTCGGCTTACTATAGCCAGTCAATCACAGAAGTTGAGAATTCGTTGCTTTAGTTGCTGCAGTGAATTGAAAATGACTAGTCAGACAAATCTCATGCAAACGTTGTTTAAACACTAAAATGAATCGGAAGAATAAGAACTTATTTTTGGACTGTTAAGATGTTTTTAGACCATTAAAAACTGTATTCTGAAACTCTAAAGCAAAAGATTTCATTCTCATTAGCACAGTTCTTCCAGATTTAACACCTGAGTTTTTGTAACTATCATTATTCTCATTTATGGTTCTGTTAATTCAATACTGTATTTTACAATTTAAATATATTATATAATTATATATTATATCTATTTTACATTATAGGCTTCATTTATTTATGCAAATATAATTTATGTGTTTTCTAAATTAATTAAATGTATTTTGGGATGGAATATGTTAGGGGTGTGAATCTTCACTGGCTTCATGATTCAATTACGATTATCATGTCAACGATTCGATTCAATTTCGATATTGCACCCTCAGTTTTAAATTTTACTGCACATGGCTACATTTTCAAATACATTTTATATTAAATTTATTTTACGCATTTTTATTAAATTATATAAGCAGGCTACTTTTTAAAAATAATTACAAATGAATAATAAATCAAAAAATAATTTAACCAACTAAATATAGCTTCAAAACATACAAGCAAATATAAAGTAATAAAGGGGAAAAAAGACAATTACAAGTGATAAACAGTATCTGAGAGTGCTTTAAATATCTGAAAGTTTACAGACAATCATAGTTTACATTTACATTTAGTCATTTAGCAGACACTTTTATCCAAAGCGACTTACAAATGAGGACAATAGAAGCAATCAAAATCAACAAAAGAGCAATAATATACAAGTGCTATAACAAGTCTCAGTTAGCTTAACGCAGTACATGAAGCAAGGTTTTTTTTAAAATCATATAATAAATAAAAAGAAAACAGAATAGAAAAAGAATAGAGCAAGCTAGTGTTAGAGGCCTTTTTTGCTTTTGTTAATTGTATAATAAATAAAAAGAAATCAAATAGATAGAATACAAAAAGAATAGAGAAGCAAGTGTTAGTTTTTTTTTAAAGAAAACAAGCAGTTAGTACATTAAAATAGAGTGCAAGTCTAAAAGGGGCAAGTTTTTTTTGTTTTTTTTATGAAGAATAGAATTAGAATAGAGAGTGCTAGAGTTAGAGGGTCAAATAAAGATGGAAGAGATGTGTTTTTAGCCGATTCTTGAAGATGGCCGGTTTCAATTTAAAATAAAGGTAGAAAATTGGGGTTGGTGAGAATCGGGAATTGGTTGACTGAAAAACCCAGATTTGAACATTCCTATATTCTAATGAAGCAGTCACATTTATTTTACTTGAATATTTTGGCCTTTTTAAAATCTCAAGGGGGGACTTAAAAATGTGTTGTTTTGTTGTGTGTGTATGTGTGTGTGTGTGTAATTACATTTTTCTTAATAACTTTCTTTTTACAGACCTGCATTGTGCAGAGCCAGTGGTTTGTTTGTAGGCAAACATTAATGCCTTGAATTTAATGCGAGCAGCTATTGGTAGCCAGTGCAAATTGATGAACAGAGGTGTGACGTGCATTCTTTTCGGCTCGTTTTAATCTAATCTAAAATAAATCTTACAAACCACTGGCGTGCGGTTCCTGAGATGCCATTTGCCATTAGGGTTGACAGGAGCTTCTGGTGCTTAACCGTGTCAAAAGCAGCGGACAGATCCAGTAAGATAAGTATTGAAGATTTGGAAGCCGCTCTTGCCAGTCTTAGGGCTTCAACAACTTAGAGCAAGGCAGTCTCGGTCGAATGTCCACTTCTGAAGCCAGATTGGTTGCTGTCCAGGAGGATGCGATGCGCATGTGTCTCTCTGTGCTGTGCAGTGAATGCTGCTGCGACTCTCTCCAGCGCGTGCACGTGCCATACGCGGGGAAAAAACAAGCTCAGAAGAATCCATTCCAAAATGTTTAGAATCGATTGAGCATCATGATGCAGCGGAGAATTGATTTTTTCTCCCACCCCTAGAATATGGCTCGGACATGAGAAACACCAGTTGGACCAGTTGCATGCATTTAAAATATCATATAATGGTACAGTATAAAGAAAACGGACGATTTCAGTGCTTCTTCTGTTCTTCAGATGTGAACTTCAGTCCGGCATGAAGTGCTTTAAGATGTCAGTTCATAAAAATATGGCAACATTAGGTTGTTAAAGTCATATGGTGTGTATGATGATGTCTTCCAGCATTATTTCCAAAACTAACTCAGCTGTTCTTGAATTTCGTCTCAAAGCTATAATCATATAGTCCTGAGATGAAGCCTGTAGCTGTGTTTGTGCAGAGCACAGGAAAACTCAGTAGAGGAGAATTCCAGTAGTTATCAATGGACATTTGTGAAATCCTTGTCTTAGTAACCCGTTCTAATTGAAATGAAAGCTACTTAAAGACATATTGTGTATTATTCACCATGCAACGAGGCAATTCAACCAAATAAATGCTTACTGACTGGATGGACTGTTGACTTTTTATTTCTGTTCGTCGCTGTCAATAAGACAGATGTGATTACCATTACAATAATACACCTGTAAACTGCTGTAATATTGGCCAAGAGTCGTCTGTAAGGTAAGATTAATAAACAACATGTGCTATAATCTTTTCATCGTCCTATTCAACATAATCCTAAATCACCAATTTGGAAGTTTTGTCACAAATCTCGACATTTCATAATCAAAAGAAATCAGCCTACATTTTTCATAAAGCAAATTAAGCCTATTTTAGGACCACTGACTGCATCATGAATCTGAATGCTTGCACTGAAAGATACTGCACGACTCTGTACAACAACGTCAACTTTAATATTGGTGGGGAAAATACATACATGGAACAATCTTGCTTTAGGCTCATGCTGTGACTTCATTTGACAAATAAAACCAATTTACAACAGGAAGGCAAAGAAAACACACATTAAGATCCATTTTTGTCAAATCATGATGCTACTTGAGCCAAGGGGGGAAAAAATGCAGGGAAAGAAAACAATTGAAATGGGAATTTAAATTCCATCATAAAATCCACCCTCTATCTCTACCCTATGGATGCCCATCCCCCCATTTCCTCTTACAGCTCCTCCCCATCCCATCCCCGCTGGTGTCCGGCAGGCAGTGGCGCTCTGCGGCCGGAGGAAACTATGTGGCGTAGCGTTTGGTCCACTGTTTGGCTATCCTGTCGTGCTCTGGTCTGTTGGTTGTGTACTGCGTGGCGATGCTTCCTACCAGAGGATCAGCTGCAGAAGAAGACACACGTTTCACCAGGTTAAAAACACCTCCTGTGCTCTAAAACTCAGTACACTGGATGCACTGATAGCACATTTCACACATGCCATTACTTTCAGTTTTACTTTAAATTGGTTTAGGCTTGCAGTTTTTTTAATGAATAATGTTTATAACGAATGCCAGGATGACTTGTTTGTTTTATGCTTGTATTTTTCATTGCTGTTCTGTTCGGTTACATTTAAAGCATTTGCTGTGGAGTGAGCTGAACTATCAATACATATTTGATAATGTTTGTAAACATTTTATTTACTAGTATTTTACATTATTTCTGAATATAATAAAATGTGACTTACACCGCTGTGATTTATTTATTTTGTTCTCTCAACAAATTTGACCCGGTGTGGCACATAAATACAGTAAGCACATGCATTCAGGGCTCAGGTTGCGACAAAGTCTTTGTTTGGCCTTTTTTTTCCAAAACGAACTTTTTGCCAGACCTGCCATTGGCCAGTGACTTTAGGAAATTTACCGGCCAGAAATATTTTTTACCAGCCATGGGAAAAAAAACAGGCAGTTATGACACCAAAATTTTAGATAATAGCAAAAAAATCACAATCCTTGATTCCAGTTTTGATACCTGCTAAAACTACTATCTTAACCAATAAAAATGTAATAGGCTACATTTTTAAAGACTAGTAAATAGTCAGTTGTAAAATAAGAGCAAATCAAATTACAAGCAATTGCACAAAATAGCCTACTATACAACAAAGATACAAATAGAAAGATTGCACAATAGTGCATTTCAGGCAGGTCTAACATTGATTTTCAGGTAGCCTACAGAAATGTAATAAATTATGCTAATCAAATAACACTATAGTCTTTATATCTTTTTTAAAGTTCAAGTTTTTCTTTGTCCTATTTTCTTTGATTAACATTAAAAACGCAGACAACAGCAGGATTATTGGAATTCTGTGTCTATCACTTTAACACCGCGTCTACACTGCAGCAGCTTGAAGTTGTCAACACTGGATGCGACAAAGCAGCCGTTGCTTGGACTATTTCAGAAATAGAACGGAGAATCTGTTTACTTTCGGGGATTTGTTGTGTCGCGCCGCGCCACATCCTGTGTAGACAATATCACTGATTATAATGGGTTCTATTGTCTTGTGACACATTGCGTCGTGCGCGGTTCGTGTTCGGTTTCTTTCTCAGCTGTTCATGTTCACTTAAGAACCAACTACTTTACTAGGATACTCACAGAGACGGTCATTTTTGACAATTTTGTGTGAATTTGTCCGTTCAAGAGCAGGAAGGAAGCAGAGATCAAGACGCGGCTTTCAGGCCGGGGCTTCGGATGTTTAAACTTCCCACTCAGCGCGAGTAACGCGTCTCCTTTCATGTGTTCTAGCTCTTGAATATTTACATTGCAAAGGCTTAAACTTTTGTGACGAAGCAGCACTGACCTGTTAACTGTACGGAGCGTCGTTCACATTTGTTCACGTTTATGTTCTCACAACAGAATTTATAAAAATGTTACCGGCCATCTGGCGACTGACACAGTTTCATATACTCGCCAAAGCCGATTTTTACTCGCATTTGGCGCTTGGCGAGTGTTAATTTTAGGCCCTGCTTATAAGGAAAGGTGAAATCAAGCAGCTCAGACATGAGATGAACAGAAAGATGTGTGCAGTTTCATACATGAGCATGAAGCGGCTGTATCGATGCCCACACCTGTAACTGCTCTGCTGTCGTCTCGGTCAAACAGGTGGAGCTCCAGCATACTGACAAACACTGGAGCTCCAGCCTACGACCAGCTAACAAGCGCCTGCCAGCTCTATCAGCCAACATCTCCTCAGCCGAGCCGAGCCGGTGTCTTACCAGGGTTACAGTCTGTGAGGAGAGAGCAGATGGACAGCAGCACTTTGGAGACGGTGAGCGCCGGGCTCCAGTTGTCCTTCAGGATGTCCAGACAGATCACACCCTGACTGTTGATGTTGCAGTG